TTCAAAGGGTAGCGCATCAATGAGCAGTCCAATGTGCTTGGTGTATGATCTTGTACATATGTTCATATTGTATATACTGAATTGATATCATCTGTCATCTAGCTGTTGGTAATTCTGTTTGTGTCCGGACGACTTCCACTTGGATCATCAACCTGAGAAGGGTTGTAGGCGTACTGGTGTAAGTCCTGCAATTCTTCAAAGGAATTCCACCAAGACATGATCGGCGAGGTTGTTTGTACAATATGTATATACGTGTGGTGTGTCATAGCAATTGGTGTATTTTGGATTCATTGTGTTTACTTGTTGTTTTCGTACCTTGTTGTTATCGCGTAATTTTGTTAAAATTTTCGTCGTGATTACTTCTGAAGTTGTTTCGAGTCTTCTACATCCATGAATGAATTGATTGATGTTAAGGACAGCAGATGGGTCGTATACGCCGGGGAGGCTAGGCTATTGCTGAGAATGAAATGCACACGGAGATAATTGTTAGCTGCGGTCCGACACGCCGGGGAGAAATAGTGTGAACGACTGAGGCTCGCATGCGTCACCGTCACTAGAACTGAGGCAGAATGAGTGACCAGCGATTTAAGTGATAATTGATAGTGAATAGAAAAGAGGATGCTTGAAGAGTATCATGAGGTGCTGCTATGGTCACGTTGCATTCTGCAAGAGTCATTCTAGCAAATGGCGATTGTGTTGCAAGATGTCAAGAGGAGGTCTCTGTCTGGAGGCGCAGGTCGTCATTGATGTGTGAGATTGTGCTGTGGGTATGCTTGTGGTGTGTTGGCTTTCCTGTTTGTTTTCCATTTCAGCTCTGTCCGTGTGACCCAGGTTCTCGCAATGGAATTCAAGTCAACATGCATTGGTTGTGAAGGAAAAAAGGGTTGGATCCCATTTTTGCCGGGGAGTGTCAATGGAGTTGAAGATTGAACGATCAATTCTTGGTTGTTTGCTCAAAATCAACTTCCCCAATTTTCGCGGAGGCATCAATACGACAGTCATCGTCTCATCGGTCGCTGTTCAGAAAGAAGAGTGAAACATCGTCAGAAGTAATACAATGATTTATTATTGTAATATTTGTTTTCAGACCTTAGTTCGCTTATTCTTTTTATATGTTGGTGTAACAATAAAGAAATATCAAGCGGCAGATCGGTGTTTTGGTTTTTGCGTCCGTTATTACTAAGCGTTCCTGAAATCTTCAAGGAACAGCGTGGGCCCGAGCGTAGCGAGAGCTGGGCATTAACGGTTTATGAGACGTGATTGACAAACATTATTAATTTGTAGACAACCTTCGATTTGCTATCATATCATACTTGATCGTTCCTGTAAAATGCCATGAATTTTCATGTAAATTTATATGTTTATATGAAAATAAACATTATTATTATTAAATGCGAATAGCGCAGTCACTCGAAAATAGTTAGGTATTTCCTAAGAGTTAACCGCTTATTGCGTCGTAAACAACGCATTTGATCTTGCCCATAGTCCAGTTAATCAGTAAATACTGGGAAGGAGGATTAAAGATTTACGGACATTCTCTGACCTTTTGGGAAACCATTCATTTGGGCTGCTCGTTACCGATCGGCTTCAACTAGAGGTATCTCATAGGATTGTTATGTGGCCGTCTGTCCTGCTAGACCTTGGCGTCAACCGCACTACCCGCGGACCCTATAGTCTGGCCCACCCTATCTGGTGGCTAGGCTCTTCTTAACACTGCCCCAAATGGCGAAGCGAGAATGTGACACAGCCACTGGAAGATGCATTCATTAACGATGATCTAGAGAATTTTTGGATGCACAATCACTTCCCTTATAACACTGAGTAATTGAGCCTAATATATTCTTTGATAATACGAATTATAACATTGATTATACTCTTATCATATAATAATAATAACAATAATAGTATATTCTCATTTTGTACATGAGAGACGCCAGTTTACAGGCATCATCAATATGATAAATTACATATACGATTAGCAATCATAATTAATAATAATGTTTTAATAAAATACACATTTTTTCCTACTTGTGTAGGACACACCAAATATACAGGCATGGGTATATATAGATTGATTTTCTTTACGGCTCCCTGTAAGACTAACTACCCTTCTGCAGTATTGTTAACCAAATGCTAAAATTTTGTTGGTTCAGCGTTAATATCTTTTTATAATATATGTAGACAGGTTACTTTGCAATGTCAAATGTTTACTACATACAAGACTGTCATGATAATTTAGTACACTAAGTCCTGCCAACCGACCTTACCTTCAGTTCATAATAACTACATTGAACCCTAACTATAGTGTTCTGCTGAATCTTGCTCCACTATTCACAAAACCTATACATTCTACTCTTTAAGGTTTTAACTTCTTATACGGTAATCTGTTCATTAGGACGCATGCATACATGTATAATATGTTCATAAAGATGCACGTGGAGACCTATTGGAAGCACTCATTATGAAGGCTAGGGAGATGGAATATGAGGTATGAACGTGTCTAGTACAAAGCAATATATTTGCGGTAGCCATAATAATCATAGTCTCAGAGGCTAACATCAAAAAAGGAGGGAGGGTGGTGCTAGCTGATCAGTAGATATGGTGGTGGTCACTAAGGTGAGTCACCCCATTCTGCAGGAACAGCAATATGCAATTTGAAGGCTCGAGATTTTCATGACAATTATGAGGGCTCAGATCTTTATTTTGAAAAAGATAATAATGAACGCCTGGACAGATCATGCTTCTACCTTTAAATATATACCATTCGCTCAGCCTATTGTTGAGGTGTGACCACGCGGGATCTGCACAGATTTATGGGGCATCTTATAAATTAACTTGCTGTCCATTGTCAGATCTTTAAATACCACTTCACAATGTCTTATCTCATTCATTTTCTAATAACGTCTTTACTCGATCCTCATTATATTCTCTATGAATTTGATTCGACTTATTCTATTCCTATTCTCTGCAGGGTACGGTTGTGCACTAAATGCACAAAAAGGTATAAATTAAACAACGGGCATGAGGATAAATGCATTAAAACCAAAAGTGGACATCATGATAGTACGGACTATATGAGTAGCATTGTACATTCCAAATGAACTTTGTCAGTCTAGGAATTATATGTTTTCTCGTTGTATTTCCTTTATAAATGCATTTATTAATGATACTTGCACTCACTTATTTCATTACACTTTTATGATTCACCTTAGCACGTTTACTTTTCTAAAACAGATTTCAATCCCTTGTAAACGTTGTACTTACCTCAATATTGGTTGGTGATCGGGTGTCTACAATCACGGGTTGAAAACGAAACGAAGTCGATTTTCCCGCTCAACCTGGAGGAAAACTGAACAATTCGATAACTATACGGTATGGTTCAGACAGTGAGTGTATATATATATATATCAAATATTTATCTGTTTAAACATGATTAACTTGTAGACAACAACTTCAATTTGCTATCATATCATACTTGATCGTTCCTGTAAAATGCCATGAATTTTCATGTAAATTTATGTTTATATGAAAATATACATTATTATTATTAAATGCGAATAGCGCAGTCACTCGAAAATAGTTAGGTATTTCCTAAGAGTTAACCGCTTATTGCGTCGTAAACAATGCATTTGATCTTGCCCATAGTCCAGTTAATCAGTAAATACTGGGAAGGAGAATTAAAAAGATTTACGGACAATCTCTGACCTTTTGGGAAACCATTCATTTGGGCTGCTCGTTACCGATCGGCTTCAACTAGAGGTATCTCATAGGATTGTTATGTGGCCGTCTGTCCTGCTAGACCTTGGCGTCAACCGCACTACCCGCGTACTCTATAGTCTGGCCCACCCTATCTGGTGGCTAGGCTCTTCTTAACACGGCCCCAAATGGCGAAGCGAGAATGTGACACAGCCACTGGAAGATGCATTCATTGACGATGATCTAGAGAATTTTTGGGTGCACAATCACACCACAATGAAGCTATCGAGCTCTCGCCCCTTGAAAATCAGATAATCCACCCCGTGTTTCGGTCCGAACACATAAATTGGTTGTTGCAGAAGAGAGATCTGGGATCCAGATGATTTGATGAACTTCTTTGACTTCCTGCTCTGCATAAAAACAGATATCCTACCTCACTCAACCAGTGACTCGGCATGATTTCATGTGTGCTGGGAGTTTGTATGTGTCATGTATTCTTGTCGAATAAATCTGTCCTCATATTTGTTGATCAGTCTTCGATAATTTTGTGCCTGGGTGAGACACAGAGGGCCTGCGTGAGAAGAGCAGTATTAGGTAGGCATAAGTCGAGTTGCCCATCCCATTTCAATATGGTCATGGAGAATGCAATATTGCACTAGGTTACTACACCTAACCCTTCTTATCGTTCTGTCATGATTCATAGCTCCTGAACTGCCACTAGAGATTGCGAATCATCTAGAATAAATAGACGGTCTTTATCCCTCTGGAAAGATGAAAAGCTTCATTTCATGCCAAGTGTAGATAGCTGTGTTAGCCTTTGAAGACCCATGTTTAGCCGAAACCATCTCGATTACGCAAGGATGCTGCAAGTCTGCCTTCCAGTAATCTCCAGGGCTTAATCTTCCCAGTGTCCCACCAACTTATCGTGTCTATGCGTACGATGTTGTGCACGTCCCCCAAGCGAAAAGTAAACATATTGACAGTCTGACAAACAAGTCACCCGAAGTCAGCACGTAATCCAACTAAAGTTGGGATTCCTGCATCAGCGGCGACAAATGATCATATTCAGAATGAGGATGTTGGCCTCATATATTATGTCATATGTGTAGTTCACACTGGTCCTCTATTTCTGCGATTATAACTTAGGGACTTTTAGTGACATATGGATTTCTATTGTCTCCATCTTTATACACTTCATCAAAAAGTGCTATGTTTGTGCTTTCTGTCTACTAGGTGATATAGATATAGCAGTTGAATCGTCAGCACCAGTTCATTGTACATTGTACGGTTATTGAATTTGTTTAGCCGAGGCATCGCGGACAATCATCTGCGAGCCGCGCACATTCTCGGTTCGATGGAGAGAAGCAGATTGTATAAGAATAGAGATAAGAGCAGCGAGGTAACCTGAGTTGAATATAGTAATTCGATTCGTGTCAGGAACTTCGAAGACGACGTGCTGATCAGTCGGTAGAACTCCGAAAAGCCAAGAAAGATGAACAACTTCAGAAGCGCCGCAACATTCTCACACCTGAGCTTGATGAGACCACGCCGTTGAGAGAAAAACAGGTTGATACTTCTAAGCTTGGTTCCTACGATGATGTTATTCGAGATATGCGGTCAGACGATGAATCTGTGAAGACAAAGGCTGTCCGTCTGTGCAGAAAATCTCTGTCAGTGACGAAAGATCCTCCAATTGATGAATTTTGCAAGAGAGGAGTTATCAGTATTCTCATTCCAATGTTGAGCTCTACTCAGTGAGTTTCGCCGATTTGGTCTAATAAAACAGTGATGATCTTGTTTTTGAGGCGGCCTGGGCACTGACAAATATTGCCTCTGGAGACAGTCGACACACGCACTCTGTGGTTGACTCTGGTGCAGTTCCGGAGTTGATACGACTTCTTGGTCATCCTGCCTCTTGCATAGCAGAGCAGAGTGTGTGGGCGCTTGGAAATATTGCGGGTGATGGGGCGGTGCTGAGAGATCTTACCATAAAATGTGGTGTTTTAGATCCAGTTATAAAGTATGTTGTCTCCTGGTGACTTAACATTGGTAGACTTTTAGATCGCACTTGGAACCTTCCAGGAGTGGTTTCGAACATCACTTGGATGCTGTCTAACCTGTGTCGTTATCGTAACCCGCCTCCTGCACGTGAGGTGCTTAAGACACTGCTCCCTGTGTTCACTCGACTTCTTCACTACGAAGGTAACAACGACGTGATCGGGGACAGTGCGTGGGCATTGTCATACTCCAGTGACGCGGTGAATGATTTCATTGACGACATTATTGAGAGTGGATGTGTCCCACGGCTCCTTAGGCTGTTGGCATCTGCCTCGGTAGGTTTATGGTCAACTTTAATTATCTCTTTATTTAGGTGAAGATTGTCTCTCCCTCACTCAGAACGATTGGGAATCTGGTAGCTGGGAGTGATGCTCAAACACAAGCTGTTCTTGATGCTGGTTTGTTAGATTACATTCCAGCCTTGTTGAATAACGAGAAGTCGACCGTTGTCAAGGAGGCATGCTGGCTTGTGAGCAATGTAACAGCGGGTAACGTGCACCAGGTAGACCTGGTAATCAAACATGGCGTGTTACCATGCATCTTAGAGATATTTCACAAGGTAAGTTGTCCCGCAGAGCGTTAGTTGTGTTACCATTACCACTTGACAATTGGTTGTTAACCTTTGTATGTATATGGACTGTATGTGAAGACGTGAGGAGAACTCATTCCACTCATCAGGTGGGTGCACAGCATCAGTTAGAATGAGTAGTTGACATAGAAATAAATAGGTGTCTGTGAGTTCATCTGTTCAAATCATCGAACTGTGTAACCCTCGAAAGTGAATGATTTCGTGGGTTGGTTCTGTGATTTGACCTGAATACTGACAATATATTTCTGGTGCAGCTAATATCGTCCAAGGAGAAGAGTGTTGATTCACTGTGCGTCACATTTGACAGTTATCAGAGCTGGCAAACACCTACAATTCTCAGATGTGGGTGACTAATTTACTCGTTCTGGTGTTCTACTGCCAGGTTGAAATTCCAACAAAGACATTGACAGCTAATGGCTAATTTAGTCCACAGATTATCACTAAATACAGGGATGATTTTAGTCGACCTAATTTGAGTTAGCACAGAAGTACATGATTGGACGATAGAAGCCAACTGTGATTAGGCATAACTTGAAGGTGGTGTGGTCGTTTTCACGTTGTTAACAATCAGAACTAATATCCTGGGCAGAATGAAAGTGGTGATGTGGCGCCAAGTTGGTCATACACTATTTAAAGTGGAATACTGCTTTGAAGGTAGGAAATAAGTCAGTGTTACCACAATATTAGACATGAATGGTACTGATCTTAGTATTCCAATTGATGTGAATTACTGCAGGGTTAGACCGTGGGATGGCACCTGAGGAATTAAAGACTATACCAGGATTGAGTCTGTGACATGTTTTTTCTTTTGTTTTCCAGGGTGAATACAAAGCACAGAAAGAAGCCTGTTGGGTGATCAGTAATATAATAACCGGTGGGACAACGGAGCAATGCGCCTACCTACTTAACCTCCCTATCTTCAAGGCTTTGAAGAATCTCCTTTCAGTCTCAGATGTTAAAGTCATCCTCATGACTCTGGAAATCATCACGAAGCTCCTTGAGGTAAGCCAAACTGCTTTTATTCCTTGAATGATTGGAGTCTCCTCTCTGTGTTGGAGGGTGAGCCGGTTAGTTGTGTTGCAGTGGAGGATTGTACTCTGTGTCTGAGGAACGCGATGATCGGTCCCATGTGCAGCTGATGTTCAGTTGAAAATAATATGTTGGCCTGACCTATGGCTTCAATGGTGTTTAACACACCAGCTTTGAGGCGGATCCACTCTAAGCGTCATGTAAACAGTATATATTTACCTGGGAATTTCGCATTGTGTCGCGGGTGAATAAATTGTTTAAGGTGTGAGGTGACTTTGCACTGTAACTGAACCAAGTGTGAAGATTGTTAGACGCTTAGCTTTCTCGTCGACCTGGGTGTTTTCGTCAGACTATGACCACCGAGACAGTAAAGTATCAGTGTGATATGTTAATTGAGACGGCATGCTCCAACACGTGGTGCTGTCCATTCTTTGACTAAGTCTAGGAGAATGTTTCTGTTTACTTTGCATTCTGAAGATTTTGTACTGGAAAGTCTGTCTTATTTTCTACATCCAAGGTGTCTGATCAATATGGCCAGTTGGAGCCTGTGTGTATCGAGCTGGAGACATGTGGGGTCTAGACAAATTGGAGGCCTTACAAGATCACAGTAACCAGCAGGTGTACCAAGCTGCGTATAACTTGATTGAGAAGTACTTCAATGATGGGGTAAGTGTTTGTCTGACCGGGAGTTTGAGCTGGTTGTGATGTAACTCCATTATGGATAAGATTTCATTTTTTGATGAATCCCTGATGGCGTTGTCCTCTGCCACAGTTCCCAAGTTTTATACTTATATCAGATTGTGATATATCGCTCTCTCAGAGTTGTGTCATGTAAACTCTGCATTCGAGAGTGTTTGATTTGGGTTGCATAGCTTTTCATTAACGATTGGATCAGTTGAATCAAGCATTGCTTCAGTCACTTGCATCTTATGCGCAGTACGTGCATAATTTGAATGAAATGAAGTCTCATGGTGTGGAATAAAGGAGAATTCGGCCAAACACCAAGGTGTTGCTTGACTTAGGATTCAGTGTTGTGGGAATTGCCGCTCTAGACAGTAAGTTGACGGGTGTGTTTTGCAATCGATTCTGAGTACCGATGTTCGTCCTGAGAGGACAGTGTGTTTCGAGGGGATAACACTTTGGATGGTGAGACGATATCTCCAGTTAAAAAATTTCCATATAATACCATGTCTGCAGTTTTACGATGCACGAACCAGTGAGAGTGTAGGATTAGCCTTTGTACATTAAATGGAAGGGATCTTCCGATATTGAGATTTTGAGACAGTGAGCACTAAGAGACGGCCTGGCTTGGATCAGTTGTCTTGCAAAATTAATAGATTTTTCCCAGTTGGTTGTTGTTGTCAGTCGAATTGGGAATGTTTGTCGAGGTGACGTCTGAGATGATGTATGAGTGTGGCTTGTTGTCCACTGATTGTCCTTCGTTCTTTATCATTGGTAATACGACATTAGTAGGGCACAGTAAAGTGATGAGTGAGTAGTTTGATTATCGTGTATTCTGCAACGTTGTGTACGTGGAGTAAGTAACTTTTAATTGTCCCTTATTCACTATTGTGCAGGATGATGACGAAAAGCAGGACGAGAATGTTCTCCATGATGGTACATGTAGCACCGCAGTGTCAGCCAACTCAGAGGAAGAATTCCGGTTTATTCCACCTGATTCCACTTTGGGAAAAGATGGCGATTTTCAGTTTTGATAGATGTTGCATTGCTGCAAACTACACATCTACCCGTTATATTTCCTATCTAGACAATCGACCATATTAACCGTCAGATTGAGAAGTGACAGTTTTGCAATGCTTTTATTTCTCAAATGATTTTGTACATAGAATAATAAATATTTTTGTTACTGATGTGTTCAGGTGCTTAACTCGGAAGAAGGGGTTGGGTGACTGACTGGCTGGAGAACATGAATGTGGCTTTTTGTGGGCTGTTGCTGTCTCGCTTGTCTTTTCTATCACGTATTTTTTTCGTTTGTGTAACCTTCGACGTAAATCGTGCGTGTATTGAAGATCGAGATTCCTCTCAGTAGTCAGGAGTATGGCACATCTTAGCCCTCTTCCCGTTCAGGCATGTAATCGGTGATAATAGGGAAAAGCTATGTGGACAGATTTTGATTGGCTAGTTGACCTCCTATTGGTTTAAAATATATTTCGGGGCAGTCAGTTCTTTAATTTCACACGGATAGTTATAGGCTGTGGGATTACAAACTTAACATCTTATAATTCCGTGTGAATTTGTTTGGCGTAGTGTAGAGTGTAGTGGGATGAGTCACATATTATTTGATACATTGAGATGTATGAGGTCTTTTGGTAGGTGAATATTATTCGACAGTATTTTTGATACTTTTTTTCAACTTGCGAAATAGGATATACACATGTTTGCGTACTAGGTGAATATAATTGAACTACCATTCACTAGGTCATGATAGTACTTGGAATCATCGTGTTGTGCCCGTTATGCATTGTTAAAACCATTACATGATGTCACAAAACACTTTTACTGCCTCAAATTCACGAAATGTGTCGTCTATGTTGTCTGATGTAAGTTGTCTATTCCAAAGAATAATCCTTTCTTGTGTATTTGATACGTGGAAGCTTTTGATACATTTATGAAGGTAATGACTAAATTGTTCATTATTTCTCTGAAAGGAATCCAACACATCCTACCGGGTTTCTTCAAGTAAAAAAGACCCATCCGGCTCTGTGGAATATGAGTATGTGAGATATGAATGTAGTTTTGCAGGTAGACGTGCTCCTCCTAGAGGTGGTGTTGACTTGAGGAACAAAGGGTTAGTTGACCGTGCATGTAAATTCAAACATTGTTTAGGTCGAAAAGTATTTCCTGTCGGTCTACATTTACAGTAGGGAATACATCTGAAGGATACAAGATAGCCACTCACAAAACTGTGCATAACCATCATGCACAACAAGTTTCTTCTCTGCGGATGTATGTAGATGTTGGCTGTCATCATATGAAATGACGGTTGTGCGATCATGTATTGAGGGGGACACTGATGTCCATGAAATTATGGATCTAGCGCATGAGAGATTCGCCAAGGTTATCCTATCTGATGATATTAATTGAATATGCGGGCTAGGATAGATAGACGTAAGTCGTATCAAAATAAATGTGACAGTATAATAGATATCGGTAGTTTACTAGACCTGCTTCATTGACTGAGGCAGGCAGACAGGACCAGTTAGTGTTCTGCATGACAATGCAGGTTTCCTAATATATTTACTAATAATACAGAATGGAATTCTCGGCATTTGTCACAATATTGCATCTGATTTACTCGGAATATAAATAAAATTAACCAGAGGAATTAGTTCACGTTTACGATATAAAGTCAAAAATATTCGAAGCACGAATTGAGAATATTAAAGATGATAATAATAGTAATAACAGTGAGTTTTTTTCGAACAGCATTCCGATTCAGTTTGGGAACTTTAGGACGTTATAGATTATTGAATCTAATGTTCTGTTGGTATAGTATGTATGGTGAGGGGAAATACAAAATTTACAGTTATAACCCAGCTTAAATAACCTTCACACATATAAAAAAATAAATTCAGAGGATATGAATATAAGACGTACAATAAATAACAGTAAAGGTTGATGTTGTAAGGGTGGAAGAAATGGCTTATTTAATAGTGCAAAGAAGGTTAGTTAGTAGTTCATGCCTAACACTATTTTCATCACATAAAGTGCGTGCCACTAAATATGGTATAGTGGAATTTTTATACTTAGATGTACGTGCTTAAAGTCTACTGAAAAGACTTCTTGTTTTACTTGAAGAGACATGATTGGAGCTGGGGGTTCTGAGGTGGATGCTCACAGTCTGACAAAACCCTTTTAGTGAATTTGTTGCATGACATCAAGTGCCTATCAATGACAACGATATGGCCCAATTGGATACCATTCGCCCTACTGACACTCAGTTTACAGAGTTCTACGAAGTGTGACACAGTCTTTTCTAATCAATCCGGGAAAGAATAAACAAGGGTGAATAGTAAAGAAGAATAGGTAAGATGGACGAGTTGAAAAACTGTAAGAGGAGGGGTTGGATGAGTTTTGCCTGAATGCCTTAACTTCTTAATGTAAAAGGTCAGACGAAATATTCTTTTAGAAATTGCTGAGACATGGGAAGACCAAGATAGGCCAGTAGGTAAAATTAATCCAAGATACTTACCTTCAGACTTGATTTCTATATGAATATCATCAATTTTGCAACGGTAATGGTAACTAACAGTTTCATTTAACTTCGTATTACATCAGAAACTGAAATGAAAAGTCTGATATTTGGAAGGATTTAGTTTGAGACCATTTGCTACCTCCTGATAGAAAGCTGTTCATCTCAGGACAGTCTAGCTGGGAGTTAACAAACATTGAAATAGTAAGATCGTCCGCATACTTAACAAACTTCATTTCGTCATCATAGTGAGGCAAGTCACACAAGAAGAAAGAAAACAGAAAAGGAGAAATAACAGCGCTATGAGGGACACCAGCCTCAGTAAGCAATGAAGTGGACGACTTCCCCGTGGCAAACAGTGTACTGCTCTCTTCATGAGAAATAAGAATGCAGCCATTTGACAACGCAACAGTCAGTTTGAGTTTCAGTTTCAGGAAGCTTGTTTAACAAAATGTTCCTAGGTATTGAGTCGAAAGGAAATGTGTAATCTAGGAAGGTGCAGTGAACAAATTTAGCCCCCTTGTCTGAACTGGCGACATTGTTATGATGCAAGACTGCAGGTGTATCTATACTTATACTGTGATTATGAGTGAACTGTTTGGGATCGTCAAAGGCTTTGAGTGAAGGTAGAAGATTAAGTAAGAGTAACTTTTCAATAGTTTCTAGAGAAGGAGAGGTAATAGCCATAGGTTAAAATGTAAAACATGTTTTAGTATATGACTTCGGTATAGGTACAATTTAAATGTCCTTCGAAACGGCTGGAACGACATTTCTGGAAAAAGATTCATTAAATATGTTCTCACGTTATTTAAAGAAAACTGCCATCCGGACCTATGCTACAAGAAGTTACAGCGACTGGAGACATTTCAGAACGTCATTTGCTTAGAAAGCGAGGAAGCAGGTTCCATAAACATTTGTAACACTAGAAACTTTGTCATTTGTGTGAGAATGTATGAAAGAATTGTTTAGTGTACACACTACGCGTTTTATCAGCCGGAGATTACTGGTTCATAGCATATCCTGAGTAACGGTGATGAATAGGATCCACCACGTCTACCGCAGCAACGCTTAAGGACCCAACCGTACAACAGTTCTAAACAAAATCTAACCGACGTGACAATAATGCCGATTTATGATAAATGGTTAGGACTCTCGCCGACCATGCACATGGTCCGGGGTTCGAGCCCACGCCGACGCACACCTGATATCTATGGTCGGCCTGCAAAATTTGGGCTACCGATATCCATGCTGAAAATTCCATACTTGTACCAAAAATACAGCGTGGAATCAAGCTGTAAATCAAAAATAAAAAAAAAAATGAATATTCTATCCACTTGTAGTGAACACAGTATGTACTGAAATAACCCCGGGTCGTTCCCAAAAAAGGAGCAGTGGACGCTGAACCTGGACTAGGAGAGGTCTGTCTGTCTGTCTGGATTCAACATAGAACTTGGCACCGAAGTGCAGCAGTTCGAGTTGCCACGTTCCAAAATAGCACACAGAGGTAGACAAGAAGATGAGTGAAGAGAGGAGAGGTGAAATGAGCCTGGTAGGTTACTTCTGAATATGCGTAGAGGAAGAAGAAGAAGAACAGGGTGGTGAATTAGTGTCAGTCATGCTGACAAACCAGGACACAGTCCCACTTTGGTCAAGTAATCAAACAATCGCAGAACAGTGTGAGAGTTTACTCACTATACAATGCTAGAGTCAGCCAGATTTAATTCAGAATTATAGGAAGCGATTATAGTAAGAGACTGCAATTAAATTTCATTTTGTTCTATGAACAGCTTACCATCTTAGCATAGTATACGCGAATCAGCTCAATGATTGAAGGTTTACCATATTCGTTAACTATCAACTTAATAACTGTGAACCTGAGACTCAAAATAAGCTTCATAGTAGCATCCAGTGATGAAAATTCACCCCGACACGTTAAAGTATGCAAAACTTCCAAAAAAGAATTTGGCGAACGAATTGAGGAAAACGCATAACCAGTCGACACAGGAACCCATCATGACTTTGAATCTGGATATCCCGTATTTCGTAGTGCTGCAGTCAAGTCCGCCTGTAACGTTTTTCTTGAATCCAGCCTGATCTAACAAAAGTCATCCATCCAAAACATCAAGGATAATGCGGTTTATGATTTTGTTTGGAGTAGAAAGGAGCATTAGTCGGCGCGATATCTTTCGAAGTCCTCAGTAGCCCTTCTCTAACAGTTAGTTTTGCATGAAAGCCCTCTTAATCAGTTGGTTGATACCTTTCCTTTTATCCGAACCTTTTACAATAATGTTATAAGTATGTTGATATGTATCCACATGATGTGTGTTTTGTTTTTGACAGTCTGTTATATTTTGCTATGTGTATATGGATCGATATTCCAATATAATTGACATTATGCTTTTGTCTGTCCACTAACTAAATAAACATGTATGACCTTGTTGTCGATGACATTACAACCAATCATGGTAAGACGTTATCTATTGGTTCATGTGTATTAGCCATTTTCATATATACTCTTGCTATATCATTCTTGTTCCCACGTTTCGTACATCTAAGTACCCTTCCACTCGCACACTTGTGTGACATTTATTTTCCTTGTCTGGAAAATGCAAGTAGTCGTCGTAAACCTGGTGGTCTTCTGATTTCCCTC